TTCTTCATTGAGAGGGTCACAGTATTAGGAGAGACAGACAACCACCACACCATTTCCCACTGTCATTCCGCACTCTAACTGCAATGATTCTGTTGTAGTAAGAACAGCTGAGAGGCAAGGGGTCTCTTCTCTGCCTGTACACACAAAGTAAAGGCCAACTCCTTCTCTCTAGCTATTAGTCTAGACTTACATGACACTCACCTGTCCCCATTCCAACTAAAAGTATTGACACAAAACGTACAGCTCTCATCTTAAATGGAATAAGAGATAGTTTATTCTGGAGTAATTCTGAATGACCAAGACCCAGGAATACAGACTTAGGTTACCCCAAATTCCATGTTTCAACATGGAAGTAGTTTCATAAAGTTGTATAGTTTTACAGAACACAGAAAGTGATAAATCAGGCCAAGTTTAAAATACATTGGTGAATACATCAGAAAGGTAATTACAGCAGGATGAAAGAACCTTCTCTGTAGGCCCAAGATGCTAGTTGATGACATTCTTAGCTTTTGGGTTAGTGGAAACTAATGGTCTACTAAGCTAACAGATTCTTAACAATTTCTATCTGTTAGTTATAGTATGTTAATTCAGACCACGAGGGAAAGAAATGGCTGTTTGGGGAGCTAAAACTAGCCCAAGATATGGGAATTATCCTGTGGACCTGCAACATTGAAAGCTCTCCACAATACTACAATTCTTATCAGTAAGTCAGTCTCTACATGACAGCATCTCTTCAATAATTCACATTCACAGAAAGGTTTATTCGTGAAGAATCACATTTTGTGTATCTGAGGCCATATATTATTTATTAAATATTTTAAGTTATGCTCATTCCTAGGATATGGTATAGATAAGGCTGAGTAGTGGACAGGAGAGTGGTCTTCAAGACTGAGGAGTATCTGGAAAAGGCAAGTGAGAACCCCCGGAGTCTTCAGGATCCAAATGTAACTGTTTTTCCTCCCTTTGCATCTGATATAACATTTATATGTGATATAGGCTTACCTAGAATTAAATAATTAGTAACACAATTTAGCTTAATTGCATGAAGATAACAGATGAGAAAAAAATATTTAGTATAGCTAAAATCTATAAATATTTTTAATTAGGTTGGCTATGTTTCTCCTTGAATTTATTTGTACTGTATGAACTATGGCACTTACTTTAAAACAATAAAAAATGGGATTTTGGAAGGAGTCATCCCTTTAATATGTAAAATACAAATATTGCTTAATTAATTGTTTAATTATGGATAATTGTAGTATGAGTATTTTAAACACTAATGAAATAAAAAGCATCACTACTTAAGGTATAAAACATTATGAATGTTGTTATTACTCTCGATGGATGACTTTTTTAAAATTTGGATAACACAAAGAGTTCACCCAAATCTTGGAGTAACTCTAGCTAGAGTAAATGTAGTTAAAGTTTAATAAAAAACTATGTTTTTGTTTCCAAATTGTGCTGAATAATGGTAATATGTGTATATACACACACACGCACATATACACATATATGCATGTCTTTAAAGATAATGGTAAAAATTTATATCTTTTAAACATTAGTTTTAAGTAAGGTATGAGTTTTGAGTAAGCAAATAGTCATAATAAAAGACATGCTCAAATGAAAGAACATAATATCTTAATTTGCAACTTCATTAATCCCAATATAAATATTATCTCACCATCTTGGAATACAGTAGGTAGAATACTGAATATCATATGCAGTTTTAGAAATATAATTACAAAAACATAAACAGTGAGAGCAATGTCTAGCTTCTCTGGGCAGTCACTTTTCAGTGACATTACAGATGAGCATTTCTGAAGTCTGCATAAATGTCCTCACAGAAGAATTAGAAAGAGATGATTCCTTTTAGGAATAATCTAGAAGAAGCACCTGGATACAGTCCTGATCTTTTAACATAATGTCTTTTTTAAATCTAATTTTGTTATATGCTAAAATTACTTTTGGCATTCACAATTAAATTGAAATTGCAAATCTAAATTTACATATTCTGATCATGTATTATAGCAAGTCTGTACTATTTTATAAGCTGGAATACTCTAAACATCTTAAAACCAATTAAAATGATATCTTTATGGATACTAACAGTTTCATGAACCTTTAACATTCTACACATAGATTTGGTAAACATTTTCTCACAAAACATATTCCAAATATACATTCATATAACTTTTTACCTCATTATATACTAGGTAACAAAAATTTATATGATTTTAAAAAATATTCTTAATATAAAACTATTAACTGTAACTTTTCAAATTAATGCTTGATTATACATAAATTGATAGATATGTCTAATGAAGATCTCTATGATACATTTTCTTTTCACAATGAGAATTATATAAAATATAATCTGAACATATAATAATGTTTAAAATCATGGTTTTTAAAATATATCTTATGCAATATTATATAATAATGTACTATCTACATGCATGTGATTATATTTTCTTTTTAATTTACTTAGTACAAATTTGGCTTATATCGTCATATAAACTAACATTGTTAACTTAACCTAGCTTCATCTTGATGCATAGTAAGATTAAAATTTTAAGAAAAAAATTAATGATAAAAGATAAAGTATATTTAGTCAATGTGACTACTTAAATAAAACAAATAGAAACGGCTAAATATCCTAATCTTTCTATGGGAAAATTAACATAAATAGATCAGTGGTTGCTGTCCAATCCCAGAACCTTACTTGTGACTCTATCCCAAGACAAGTGGTCTCTTTCTATTCCCACATCTATAACAGCACTAATGTGAATTTTATCAGATAGGAAGTCATAAGACATGTCTGAAACTACTCTCAGGGGAACTGATTATATTTGGAACAAGTTGATAAGAAACGGCTATGTTGTTTTAAATTCCTATTGTTTGATAAAAGCTTCTGTTATGTGCATATAAATGAAGTATGACCAACATAGAGAAAAAGAAACTTAGATAAACAACAAAAGCTGCCTTTGAAAGTCTTCTGCATCGGACACTGCAAACTTCAAAGTTGCTATTATAAGTATGTTTGAGGAACTAAAGAAAACCTTGCTTAAGGGTATAAAGAAAGATGTGATAACTACTTCTCATCAAATAGACAATATCAGAAAGGACAAAATGAGGAGGAAAAGGTTTTGATTAAAAAAAAAATGTGAAAAGGAAGTCACATCACCACCTCTATTCAGTAACTGAAAAGAATAGTAATTAATAAAATCTTTTCTCTAGAGGAAACCAACACTAGCTTTGTACAGGCATAAAAAAGAATCAAAGAGCATATAAGTAGAAGGATGGAAAGTGTGATATATAAACAAAGGAGGGAGGGAAAAGAGTTAATTTGCAAAAGGCCATGAATTTCCATGAGAAGGGGACACAGGGAACGTCAGAGTAGGAAGAACTTTGAGAGTAGCTGTGAGTACAGTACTAAAGTATAAAATACTCAAAGGGTAGGGGTAGATTTAAAAAAAATTAAAGGGAAATTTAGTACAAAATGAACTGTATCAGTGCACACAGATGAGAAAAGCAAGGAGAGGAGGGAATGTGGAAAAGAGGCAAAAAGAAAAAAAAAGAAAAAAAAACAAAGAAACAATGGTCAAATTTTACAAATGATTACATCCAAGGGGCTTGCTTCATAAACCCTTCTGTGAACTCCATCCTTCTCCAAGTGGGATAAAGAAGAAGTCCACAGTATAAACATTGAGAAAGAAGAAAAATCTTCTAAATGGAAAGAAAAGTATGATGCAACATGCACAGAACTAGAACAAAATCTCCACATTTTCTCCCCCAAATTAGAAAAGTAAAACATGACCCAGATCTTCTTAGAAGCCACTATGATCCCAATACTCAGCAGATATACTACTGTTGTTCTCTGAACTATGTCTTTCCAAATTCATGCTTTTTATTCCTAATCCCCCATGGGATTGTTTGAGGTTTCAAGAAAGTCTTTTTAGGTATGTCAGAAATAGAATTTGTAAAAAGAAAAAAATGAAAAAAGGAATGAAGGGGAAAAAACAGATAAGTTGTTCTTTATCAAAATTTACAACTCAGATGCTTGGAAACCAACATCTAAGAAGTGTGAGGAGTATTCAGGACAAAATACTCACAAGTTACAGTCCTGAGCAGTGACTTGTACCTAGGATACACAAAGAATTTTTACAACTTAGAGGTAAAATGACAATCCAATAAAAAAAGGGAGATAAGGTCTGAATAGATGATTCTGTTAACAAGATATGCAAATAGATCATTAACATATGAAACCCTGCTGGGCATCATTGGCTTTCAGAAAACTGCAACTCAAGTGCACCATGGGATACCAGTTCACACCCACAGGGTTGGCTGTGATCAAAGAGACAAGTGTTGGCAGGGATGAGGACAAGTAGACATTGGAACCCTCAACATGTTGCTGTTGGGAATTAGACCTAATAAAGCATCGTTTGACAAAATTATGGAATTTCCTCAAAAGCTTAAATTTAGAATCATATAAACCAGTAATTCCTCTTAAAGAAATTCCTAAAACAAATGGAAACATATGTGAACACAAAAACTTGTACTCGAGTTTTTACTACCACATTATTCATAACATAAACAAAAATGACCCAAATATCTACTACTAGATGATATTCAGAGCAGGAAATATTCAATAAAAGAAAAAATCTTTGATATTAGTATGACAAGTTACTAGAGCCTTGAAAATACTGTGTAAAAGGAAAAAAAGCCAGCTACAAAAGCCTATATACTATATGACTCCATACATGGGACTTCCACCATATGCAAATCTGCCTAGAGAAAGGAATTCGTGATTATAGTGATTACTATGGTTGGGTTGGTGCGTGGTAAGTGGTGATAGGAAAATGACTGGCACAAGTTTAAAAAAAAAGGTGAATAAAAATGACCAGTAGACTGTGTTAATAATTACATAAATCTGTGAATAAGCTAAATGCCAAGGTTGAACCTTTTACAGTAGATCATACTGCAATAAATCCATTTATTGTAGCACTTGTACATGTTCAACTGTCAGACAAAGACAAGGAAGGCAGATGCAAAATAAATCCTCCCTTGAAACCCAAACTCATTGTTCAGTATGAATTTTGATACACACAAGAAGGGATATGGCTCCTGCCTGCTGGGTCCACCCACACCACAGCCAGCAGAGTAAACTGAGTTCTGTTTCCTAAACTCCATTGTGAGGTTCACAGCTCTGCTTCCCTTCCTGAGGAGGACTGGAGAACCCTAGGAATATTCAGTTCCACCTGAGACAAAGCCAGCAGAGGTGAGCAGTGTGCTATTCCCTGAGCTCTACTGTCAGACCCAAGGCTCTGCATGCCTCCCCAAGAAGACCTTTCAGCCATCTAGACAATACCAGAGACGACCAGATGGCTAAAGGCCAGCATAAGAACACAATCAACAAGAGCCAAGGCAATATGGTACCACCAGAGACCAACTAACCTACTTCAGAGTCCTGGATATCCTAACATAGTCAAAACATAAGATGATGACCTTAAGTCCAATCTTATAAAAATAATACAGGCCCTTAGGGAGTTTAGAGTTCTGGTGGGGGTGGGGGGTGTAGAAGGGGACATCCTTGTGGAGACAGGGAGGCAGAGAGGAGGTATGGGATGTGGAACAATCTGACGGTGGACTGGGAGGGGAATAAAAGTTGGAGAAAGAAAGAAAGAAAGAAAGAAAGAAAGAAAGAAAGAGAGGGAGGGAGGGAGGGAGGGAGGGAGGGAGG